GTATTGAAACCAGTCACACGGAAACTTGAGTTTGATTAAAACATAAGGTAAGCGACATGGTGCAGAACTACTATTTAATAGAATGCAGGAGAATCCATTTTCCAGGGGACTAACAGGCCGTGCATTGAGGTTTTTCCATGAGAAGAAAACAGAAACCCCAAATAAATGCATAAAGTGGCTCTGTTATCTCGTTCTTTAAAATCAAGGTAGCAAGTTTCCCCATTTCATGCGTATATAGTTCAATGGAGTATACGACTTAAAGAATATGGGACGCTGTAGCTGCTAACACCGTTGGTGGCTCGAACCAGCAACACCTCACGCGCACCCGCCTCGCCTAGACCAAAGCTCTGACAAAGTCAGCACCAGTTTTGCCCGTGGACAGTGCTCCCTGAAGGTATCCCCGCAGAGTTACAGCAAAAAACCAAGATCACCAACACATATCCACAGAAAACGCATAAAATCAACTTCAATTTTAAGCAAACTTACAAAACCCTGTTTACAGACAAACACCTCTACAGCCTTTCACAGGAGAGACCACGCAGTACTAGGTTAACGGTTGGACTTGATGATCTTAAAGGTCTTTTCCAACCTAGACGAATCCATGATTCTATTTCTTCACAGAAAGGGCTGTCAGGCACGGGAAGGGGCTGCCCAGGGAAGGGGTCGAGTCCCCAGCCCTGGGGGGATTTAACAGCCGGGCAGAGGCGGTGCTGAGGGCCAGGGTTTGGGGGTGGGATGGCAGGGGTAGGGGAGCAGTTGGGCTGGAGGAGCTTAAAGGGCTTTACCAACCCAAACCATTCTGGGATTCTGTGATTCTATTCTATGAACGTCCTTATGACTGAGGGTAGCACAATCCTCATGACCTGATGACTCCAAAGGGAATCACTTGCCTCAGGGAACACAAGCAGAAGAAACCTCTCCTGAGCATGCCAGATCAATCTCATCTATCCAAACTTCAGTCATGACACATTGGGAACGCAGAAGCAGAAAGATATTGCCCCAGGAACTTCACAGAAAAAATGAACTAAGATCAGGCATGCCCAGATTTTAAAGCACTAAGCCTGTGACCGCAGTTATATTAGGCACATGTGCTCTTCTTTCAAGGAAAAAGTTTTTCTAAGGGTAATTCTGATAAATTCTTTCAACTCCAATAAATGCTTTCACTTCAGAAACACCTGAACTTCCCCACCCTCACCTTAAATCACTGTCTACAAGAAGTTCTTGGCAGGTTTGAATCTGCTCCTCACTGATTCGCAGAGTGAAGATCTATTTGAGTATTGACTTGCAGCAGGGAGGCCAAGATCAGAAGATTACCATGGTTCTTTCCAGCCAGAAGAGAAGCTTCACATGCTTTTGCCTTTTGTTTAGGTACATTACCACAAGGTAAGGATTTTCCAGGTATAGTAATCCACATCTGGCTTTCCACAATATTGGGAGTGTCACTACGGTATTAACAGTAATCATCAATATGAGAAAATAAGCACTTACACAGATCAGCTGAAAAAATTTGCAATTTCAAAACATACTGATTTTGCCAGATAGTCTGATGTGAGAGAAAAAAAATAAACCAATGCTCAGGTGCATATTCAACACCTAAACAAGAATGATCTACTCTAAGTCACTTTTTTTTTTTTTTTTTTTTACACGTACAAATATCTCGGGGGTGGGGGTCACGGGGGGGGCGCCACACTTTTCT